ACACACACACACACACACATATATATATATATGTGTGTGTGTGTGTGTGTTACCTTTAATTAATTAAAGCCCCTTCTACTACAGTAAATGCATTAATTTTTTGAAATCAAGATAAATAATTCATTAATAAATAACAAATTACACTAAACAATTAAAAATCAATACAATTTATGCAAAATATACATTACCTTGGAGAAAACACAAGTTTTCTAATAATCACGAAATGGCTATTCATATAACGTAGTTGTATGTCATTGATGTGGTTATCAGAAAATGACTTTAAATCAGATGAATTAAACTCCAGTAGAGTGACAGTGAAATTTTGTGGAAAAAGTTGTTTTTGGTACTTCACTACTGATATTTTTAAGATTAATATTTTCGTTAGTAATGAGTATTTCTATTGATATATCTTCGGTTTGTTTGTATAAATTATATATTTTCTACTGAACTACTTTTACTTGGCTAAGCATTACAACTGTATTTACTGTTACTATACCAGTGGTTCGACCGTAAGTTTGAAGGCTTATAACTCTAAAAATCCGGTTTCAACACCAGTGGTAGTGTCAGCACGGATAGCCCATTGTGTATATTTGTATTTAACAAAAACAAAGAAACATATACCATTAATTTAAATTTTTTTTTGTTATACTTCTGGTTGTTTTTAGCCATTTCGTAAGGCTATACTTGGCTTAGGTAGTCTTTGTATCTTTACCATGGTTTTAATTGTCTAAGAGGGTTAATATTCTTTAAGCCCTTCTTTAAAATTCAGACTAAACATAGTCTAAATTAAAACAATTACGGTTTAGATTAAACACTGCTTATGTCTAATGTTTAGAAGAAAAATTATTCTGAATATGCGCATATTATTTTAATTTACATTTTAGAATAGGCCTCGAAGACCGTTTTGGAAAATCATAGATTAAAAAAAAATAACTTGCAGGTATAAGCTTCAGGATAATTTCTTTAACAGTGAGTATTTTTGAATTCAAGCTGGGTATATTCTACAATCTAATTTCAAACACTTTAGAGAGGTATTTCGTTAAATGTTATTTAGGTGTGAATCTCAGATGTATAACTATTGTGAATAATAGACTTAACAAATAGCCATTATTAAATTACGTGTATTTTTCGGAAATGTAAATACCAAAGAAAATAAATGTAAAATATAAAAATAAATATTATGATTCAAAAGCATTTTATTTATTTATGTTAATTATCATCGTATTTATTTTATCATTATTAAAACCTGGAGTAGCGATTTCACAGTAATTCATGGAGTTTAATATGGATCAGTATCTTATTTATTTGTTGTCATTAAAATCTGGAGTAAGGAATCGACGATAGTTTTACCAAGATTATTTCAAATCTTATACTTTTAGGTTTCTAGGCGTATTATTACCGTAGATACAGATGTGTACAACGTGACAATACTTGTCTTAGAAATACACGTATATATTTCCATACTTCTATCTCTAGCTTTCCTGTACGATATTTACTTTAACAAATTGAACTACTAAAAATGTTTAATATAATAACATTGCTACCATTATTTATTATAATATTACTATAGCATTCATGTATAACATATAATATTTTATGTAATATTAAATCTATAAATATATGGTATTTAACATATAACACAGCACGTGAAATAGAAAAGCCAGGAAATTTGTCGAGGCAAATTTCCGTTGTTTGAAAGGGGGAAAGAACAGATGCTACTTATATCAAGTTGCATTGGACATTATTACTTCAAGAACTTTGAGGACGTTATTGGAGGGTGGAGATCTGAGTCAAGGCCAGGTGCAAAACTCTTTAAACTTATTATAGTAGTGGAATTAATAATACTAAGATTATCTTACTTAAAGTGGGTACTTAGTGTTAAACACATACAATAATAGATAATAATACAATATAAAATAATAATGGTTCATGTCAGCTGGTTGCTACCCTGTGGTCGGTAGTTTGGTATTACGAACGGCACCATGCTACGTGGACTGTGCATTGACAGACCTGCTGCTGTGGGACTCCATAATTGGAGAGAGCTTTAGCTGGTGCTGAACTCCTATTGTGTATAAATGAAATAATTAGTAATACAAATAAATCAAATGAAAATCAACTATTATAAAATAATGTCAATTACCTCTTCAGTTCATTTTTATGCAAGTCAGACATCTGGTAATCCATCATGTGAGGTGATATATAATTCATTTCAATATACCATAAGGTTACCTTTAGCAGTAACAACAGCCTGGCACTGATGTTGCATGCTTAAAATCAGAGCGTTGGTAAGATATTAAGGTACCCATGACTACTGCTCTGAGAGAACTGAAAAGAGGTTAACTTCTATGTCTTTTGGCAGATTGTAACGCACTCGCAATAATATGTGGCATTGAGACCACACAGAAGGACGTAGAAATCGATACCCCCATCAATATTTATTCCTCCTTGCATCACACTTCCACCACAACAATATGTGCAAAACGTCTTTACGACACTGTGTTTGGAACTCATTTGAGAGTATATCTACACGTCTATTATATAGGTACAGGAAAACATATGTGACCCAGTTGTAAGCATAATATTACATCATATATTGTTGAGACACTGTTCCTAACATTGAAGCGATATCAAATCAACAGATGGTAGGCGCTTGATAATGTTATGGATAATTATTTGGCTTGGCCAGACATCGGAGTAACTGTATCATTGGTCTGAAGCAATTTCACACTCTGATAGCAACACTCTGGGATGCTTGTGGCCAGTTAAAAGCCTTCTGTGATTGGAACTTTTAACCCTCTTATTTAGATCTTTACTTTGAAAAATTTGGAGCCTTTCAAACACACACACACTGTAATTCATTTTAAAGTGACAAATCGGACATAATTTGTGAGTCCATTGTGTATAATGTAGAATGAGCCACAAATCACTCCCCGTGACTCAAGGGTAAGTCTAAAAATCGGGTTTTGATAATCGTAGTGGGCAAAGCACAAATAGTGCAATGTGTAGAATTGCGCTTAGCAACAGCCAAACCAATGACAAATCATTTGATTTCAGATCACATGTGTTGCCCTCACCTATTTTTTGATTATCACCTCCGTTCCATATTGGTTAGGTTTTTTTCTATGATAGAACATGTTCATAGTTTATTTATTTTCTTCTTTTGTGTGCTGTTTCAGTACAATGTTTACACGTATTTTCTCTGAGTGAACCAGTTTACAAAACAATATGTCTACGTTGGTCGAAAATATGTGTATAAAAAGAAGAACAGAAACATCATTGAATTAAAATTTTCTGGTTATTACTTCCGTTCTATATTTTTTAGGTTTTTATAGAAGAACATTTTCGTAGTTTATTTTATTCATATGTATGCTGTTTCAGTACAATGTCTGTTAGTACTTCTGATTATTTTCTTTGAACGAACCAGTTTACAAAAACGATTTTTCAACGTAGGCTGAAATATGTATAGAAAACAAACACACTAACAAAACAAAAAAGAGGAAACTACATGTAATTATGATTTTCTGGGTATTATTTACAATCTATATTTGTCAGGGTTTTTTTTAGTTTTTAACATTTAATTTGTTTTTCTTCATATTGGTGTTGTTTTTTCAGTACGGTGTTTGCTAGTATTTCCGAGTGTTTTCTCTGAACTACTTTACAACATTCGTTTTTTTTATGACGTTTTATCAAAGAATATCTGTTGATTCACAATGAAATAAAAAAACTGGAAAACAGTTTGAATCCCCGTTACTCCAAACATCCTCGCCCTTTCAGCCATGGGGGCGTTATAATGTGACGGTCAATCCAACTATTCATTGGTAAAAGAGTAGCCCAAGAGTTGGCGGTGGGTGGTGATGACTAGCTGCCTTCCCTCTAGTCTTACACTG